TGGAGCATTATTTATTTTTTTCACCAAAATGTAAATATTTTTGTCGTTATTAAAAGATTTTTGATAAAAATATGGTTGATAAATTTATATTTTTCATGATTACCTAGCATTACCCATATATCATAGACTAAGTGGAACTAAATTATATGTTAAACGTATTACAAATTAGTGATTTTTTTTGGGGGTTATTAAAATAAACCCTATGTAGTCAACAATGAAACAGTTGCATGATGGACACAATGAAACATTGTTTCATTGTATAATACCATATACCAAACAAAATCTACTGTCCGTGCAAATAATCATTTTTAACTATTTTTAAGGCTATAAATTACTAGGTTATCCTAAAATTTGATGTTTATTTTTCATTTAAGATGGCGCGAACTAAATCTCTAAAGAGGAAGAAAAGTGATCATTAAGGAGATAATATAAAAAAAATATAATAGTAAATAGTAAGGAGTTATCTTTACTAGTTATAGGTAATCTGATGAGTCTGATTAAATTTCAATTATTAATAAAACCTTTTGATTGGACTCGGGCATTTTTTATTATTCACTTACTTCATAAATTCAATAAATATGAATCAATCACTCAATTTAATGTCCCATTGTTGAAATTGTAGTGTTTCATTGTGCACATCAGAACGGACACAATGAAACATTTCCAATAGGGTCATTCCATCGTTTCGGGTGTTACGTTCGTACACACATATTCAACAATTTCATGTATTTTGAAATAGTATTTTAATAATGTTAGTACCTTAATCTGTCCGTTTTTAGTTGTTTTATTTAAATAATAAAGTTTGTACAGCGTAGAATGTAGGATAACGAAAATATAAGTCGAAAAGTGTGCGTTTCGGGCGTTACGAGATTTTGCCTCTATGTTCTGACTGTTGCTGCATTTACTCGAAATTTAGCGAATTTTCTTAAGGAATCATACCTAAAACTTACAGGACTTCTAAAGTATGAAATTTACAAACCATGTAACATACAATCACTGTTAAATAAAACGTTTTACTATTTTTTTATAATTGTTTTCTTTGTTTCGGGTGTTACAATGGTTCTGTTTCGGGTGTTACGAGTACGAAAATTCAACGCGTTTTATCGATAAAATCGGTGTTTTATTAGTCTCTAGGTACTACAAAATAAGGAGTACAACAAATAAACACAAATAGAGCGAATTCTGGTTTGAAATTACGAAGCAGCTTTTTTTTAAAAATATACAAAGTTCAAGTTAAATTTTTCCTCATTTTATTGTTTTGCTAATTGATTACAAATTTATTAAAAAAAACATAAATGACATCCGATACCTACCCAACTAAGTTAACTATGTAGCTTCAAAAAATTAGACTTGTATCTGTAAAAACAAAAGGTGTACGAGATATTGAATTGTTAGTGTTTCATTGTTGACACACAATTAATTATTATGTTTCATTGTTGAATTTGAGGTGTTTCATTGTGTACACAACAGTGGACACAATGAAACATTTCCAATTTATGTGAATTTATTTTTTTGCTGATTGATTAAACATCAATTAAAAAAAACATTAATGCCATCCTATACCCAATAAAATTGCCTACATACCTGTCAAAAATTAGACTTCTATCTATGAAAATAAGAGTTTTATGAGACTTTGAAATTTTAGTGTTTCATTGTTGAACACATGACCCTACAGGCACACCAGTTCCATGTTATGAAAAAAGGTAAAAATGTTCAAAAGCAGTGCCAAAAAGGAGAGACTGGCTCTATAGTGAATAGTGATATATTTTCAAATGAATTCGTTTACAGTGTAGGTACGTGAAAAAATCGCGATGTTTGCTTTCCCTTTGTCCTGCGCACGCCGTACCGGTGAATAAAAAAAATCTCCGGCCTCTTTGACACCAACTCCAACTAGGTATGACCGCGGCTCTAGAAACGGCTTCAATTTTTTTGACGTCCGTATTCGTTCATTTGAGCCAAATGACATTCACTATTGGACAATGGTCAGGATTTTCACAACGACCCCTCCTGCGCTGCCCGCATCCAGGAACATACTTCCCGTGCTTTTCACCGGATTTTCGGACATTATTTTATAATTCAATTCGCATACAAAATTAGGAAATTAGATACGGGACTTCGTGTAGAAAAGAATAATATCTCCAGATTAATTTTAATCCATTGTATCCCTTCTTTACATACAAGATATCTTATGTAGATGACAGATTTGTATAATCCGCCATTTTACATTACAGCTAGCCTTTACATTATAGCTGGTAACGTATTACAATGACAATCTGGCTAATCGTTGATTCGCCGTATTACAAAACAGCGCTGTTTTTGAAAATGGCTAGATGTAGTATAAAACGGTGAATTAACAAGCCAACTGCGACAAATAAAAAAGCTTAATAAAATAAAAAAAGGTAAAATACAAGAGATGGGCCTTTGTCAAAGCATATTTTCTTGTGATTTTACTGATTTTAATTTATTCATATTATGCCATATTTTGTGTATACATTGTACCTAGTGTCAGGCGTAGAAAAAGGACTGAGCTGTAAGCTAAATACTTAGTCTCAAGCTTTTGGTGCAAGTAATTCGCAAATATGGGACCTTCCACCCTTCCAAGAATCGGAAAGTGAATATTTCCTGTAGCGTACCCGGTTTTAAGTCAATAAACAAACCCTAGAATCCTGGAATCCAATACCTTAGGGAATATTTGCACTCGTTGCTAGTTGGTAAGGGCCTTTGTCGGTATGAATTGCTCGGAAGCACAGGTGGATTTGAAAATTATATAGGTGGATTGTTAGCTCCACATAGCAGATTTCCGTCTCCATGGAATCTTCTATCAATATTTTGTGCACATATTTTATTGATGCATGCAACATCTAAGCATATTATAGCAAAAAACCCATAGGAAATGAGTTTTTTCTAAAAAAAAGCGCAAAAAACCGATTTTTGTGACCGTTGACCTTGAAATTTAATAGTTGCTTACACCCTACCATATGTAGGTTTTGAGACAACTTTAAGGGTGTCAATATACACGTATTTATACCTTGATTTTTTAGAATCCAGCAGAGATGTAAACAAACACTTTTACACAATTACACCATAATCACTTAGGTGTTCATAATATCATACACATTATTTAATTTTAACAAGCCCATGAAACCAACTTTATTTTCACGTTTAAACAAGTTTGATATCAATCTTTGAAACAAATATTTTAGCAAAATACGTGGAAGATGAAAATTTGTGAGACTTGTCAAATTGACTTGACGTTTAAAATCATGTGTTATCTCCATATTGTCTATGACTTGTCTCTGCCACATCAGTGCTGTAACCTGTGAGTCATAGACAATAATCTGTAAATTTAATCGTTATTATTTTAAGTATTCACTTATTCTGATTACTGATTAATTTTAAATAAAAAGGACAATGACCAAAAATGTATGGAGTGTGGTCCAAATGTCCACCACTAACGAGACCTATGTAGTAAAATAGTCTACTAAATACTGATTCATTATAACCAAACCGCAATCAAAAATATGCTGTCAGTAAAAAGTTATGACTGAATGAAAAGTCATGTTTTTACCTTTTTATCCAAAAAATGTTCTTGATATCATTCTATCCATCGCACATTTTGGATTAATCTATGCATGTTATGTCATGCCGCTTAGTGTGCCGTGTTAGATTATCGCTAAAAGAAAAAAAAAACTCAGAAGAAGGACAACAATATTGGAATTATGGTCGGGTGGTCGCTGCTCAGACCCTATTGCTTGTAGGGTGATGTTATATAACCTAAAACCATCCTTGATAAATGGGCTATCCATAAAAAAAATATTTTTTCAAATCGGACCAGTACTTCCTGAGATTAGCGCGTAAACTACTACAATTTTTCATACGGTCATAACTTTTTACTGACAGCTTATTTTTTTTTCGTCCCATACTGAAAGTTAATCTCTATTTAATGGACTATAAGCCAATATAGGTCTCATTAGTGGTGGACATTTGGACCACTTTTGGTCATTGTCCTTTAGGATACTTTGTTTAGTTTTCCAGCGATAACTTCGACAATATTGGAGATAACGTAAAATTATTTTTCGACTTTTAGTGTATACTTTTAATTTTTAATTTTTAGACAGTACAGTTTAATTTTTAGTCGGTTTTATTTAAACGAAATTATTTAACTTTTTTATGCAATTATGCTTACGTATTGTTCCATTGCTTATTTTCCTACATAATTAAATAAAATAAAAGAATTTTGCAACTATTTGAAGTTTAATAACTTTACGGATATCATTGATTGTTTTACTGTCCAGTGTGTTTTTTGATTACATCTGTGCATACAGTTTGTTTCCTGTTCTCGAAACTTTCATAATCAGTTCACATTCAATGTTGCGACTTTGTTGCATATTTTTAGTATTTTGACGATCACCCGGCGATGATACGCAAGTACTACAATAATTTCACTTCGCGATTAACGAGAGGTTTTGTCGCATCACTAGTTCACAGACTAAAAATATTTTTATGTCAGTTGGCCATTTTTGATGACATTTCTGCTGATTTCTAAAAAATTAGACTGTACAGACTTACTGTACAGCTGGGTATCTCGAATTCCGAGGTGAACTTACTATAATGACTGGACTATTACGGTTTTGACTTTGAAGGATCCTACTATTTCAAATGAGTCACGCCCGTATTTACAAACATTACTATGAGGTCTCACAGTGCGTGTGGACGCACTAGAATTAGGATTTTTATGTGAACTGCTTAATTTCAAGAGTGATCCACAATACAAATATGAAAAATGGCACTGATGATAGACGAAACAGTGTTACTAGTGGGTATCTTCTAAAATTAAAACACAAATTCTCTTCTTTGGTTCATTATGTCCTGTAGCTGGTAGGGTCGGTAAAAGTTATACTGGGTTGTGGAAAAAAGCTAAAATAAATTATTTAGGATGTTTTCCCTGTGCGACTATAAATGTTTAAAGCTGTGTGTGTTCCAAATAAAAAAAAACTTACCCAAAGGTCTTTCGAGGGTCTTGCTCGGTGTGCGTACTACAGGAAGAGAGGATCGTTGCTTCCCGCCGCGTCGGAATCCTGTCGACGCGGTCTCCACCTCGGACATGATCCCGGGGTCATCGTCGAAGAGCAACGCATTGGGCGGCGGGTAGCTTCGGGGTAGGGGGGGCTGAAAACAAATGGTCAATTTAGACCACGAAACAAGGAAGAAGTATCGGTTGCGGCCATCTTTGCACCGATTTTGGCCACTCTATGGAAAACATTATGAGATTACTAAATTAGTTTTACAATTTAACTTATTATTATTTTATTCAATATTTACCAGTCATGAATACATTTTTTTTAATTTACTCTAAAAACTGATTTACGCTATGTGTTTAAAGAGGAGTCAGGAAACACAGGTTTTCACCTTTTATGAGAGCTGAACATATCTTGAAATTTATAAGTGTTTATTTAACAAAAATAGTTTTTACATCCACATATACAATGTATTATTATTTAGTTAGAACATAACAAAACCACTAATGTAATTAAAGTAATTTTTAAGTCTTCCTCTGCCATATAATTACCAATAAAGTATAAGTGGACACAAACTGTGCCTTTACTCTGCTAACTCAGGTATTGAATTGTTGATACGAAAGTCTCAAGAGAGGAAAGGAACCATCTATCCATTGATGAAATGTATCATTTCTAGACTAGCAATGTAATCGGAAAATGTTTTTGTTCATTATATTCCTTTCCCTTCTGTAAGTATAATTTCAAATCACTCATCTCCCCAAATATTGAGGCATTAAGATTGAGAATAATCAATTGTTATTCTACCCAAATAAAAACGTGGCCATGTCTCACTAACTGAACTTGTTTTGTCCCAAATAATAACATCTAGGTTAGATCAATTAAATGGAATTAAACGAATGATTCGCTGTTGAATACTAATAATGTTGAATATAAATACATTCAAATGGGTGAAATTTTCAACAATTCGCTAAAATAGTGAAGTAGCAATTTGTACTTGCAGCCAACACCATTGCAGTTCATTGCATAGACAAATATTAGGTAACAAAGTACCTAGTAGACAACATACAAACATAAAAAAACGAATTTGCTTGTGTTATAAAATGGTTAATTTAAGTTAAAATTTATAATATTTCTAATATGTGAATGGTGGAAAAGAATATTATGTTTATAACTCAATGGTGAATATTTAGACCTGCCTGTTAATCGTTCTATCTTAAACGTTTACATTCTTACATCCAATCCAGTTGCGCTATGATTCAAATATAGCTATGCAAAATTAGAATTGGTACCAACCAACTGAATGAACTCAGTGCGGTCTAAATAATGCCAATATTGAACGCAATGAACTAGTTTTGTATATTTTAGTCATATGTTCCTATCGTTATATGTTTTTGAAAGCATGGTAATTATAATTTTATTGATTAATGAATTCATGTCTTAGGTGGAAACATAGCACTCACGACTATTCCAGGAACACAAGACATTAAACAAAATCCGTCACAGCCTCCATAAACCAAAGGCAGACAAAATCACAAACAAGCTAAAATACTTAACTCTTAAGGTTTAATAGCAGTAGGAATTAATAATCTACCTACAAGGTTAAGCTCTTAAAAGGGTTGGCAGCTTAATATAAATTCAATGATCCTATTATACCTATCCTGCGATTTCCACTTCATATTTTTACAATGAGTTTTAAAGGGCGTCTATTTTCATCAAATAACTATTTCTGGAAATTTTATTCTACGCACATTAATTATATTTATTATAACTTAAAATCCTTCAGATGAATCTCAACAACGTTTACCAAACACAAGAAAATCACTAATTAGCGTGGGCATGAGCGGCGATAAAGTAGAGAACGATCTGTTCTTTTTTAGCGGCATATTACATCTAGGTTAATTTCCATTAGGTATCTTAGCAGCATTGTATTCGGTCAATAATGTTAGTACCTTTAAAATACATCAAAATCATTCACCCAAAACCAAGATAGCTTGCCGATTTTTTATTCCGTAGAAAGTTAACATAATGCGTTTCTATAATTTAACGTGTCGCTAAGAGAAAAAGCACAGATAAATATGTCGTCTAGGCAGGTGAAGAAATGACGACCATAAAGATTTCTGAAATTAAGGATGTGTGAAGTATTCGTAATTAAAGCTATAAAAACTGTGAATATTTAACAAAGGGGAATGATAGTATATACCTAATAAAAAAAACGAAATTTTAGCTTTTTAGTTCACTTATATGCCAACTTTAATGATTTCGGCAAATACTTTCCTAAGTCTTTCTGAAGTTACTTACTGTTAACTCTTTTTTAGTACTATACGAAAACATTAAAATTCCTTCCTTCTTTTTTTAATTAGTCATCGGCCAATCCCTTTTTCAACAAAAGGAACATACCTTTTACTCTTCATTAACGAGTATTTTTGTGAGAGACTACCGAAACGTAAGTTTTTTAGTTTTACGGAGAAGCTACACAGGAATTACTGTGTTGGGAAAGCCAAGTTGGAAGTATTAAAAAATCAATGAAATTAAGAAAAACTACCGCATTTGTAAAAAAAACTTCTGTATAATGTCATGTTGTATTAACGAAAAAACTATGAAAAAGTACTAGTTACCTACTTGGAATCTTCGGCGAAATTAACGCATTTGTTCTTTCTACGCAATCAAAAATCAGCCTAAAACGGTCGGTTCTCATACCTTTCGTGCGAACTGATTTGATATTATATTATTTTTTGTATCGCGGAACTTGGTAACGATGGCATACTCAGGCGAATTCATATTTGCTGGTTGAGGTCCCCGATGCTGAAGGATAACATAATAAATAATAAATAAATGGTGAGTGATAAGAGAGGTAAAAGAAGATAAGTAAATTGACACGATACTATGCATATATCAAGATAGTGATTTTAAATAAAATTATGAAACAATCAATTCATTGACAAGCTGACTGATTCAAACAAAAAAGAGTAGGGAATCGATCTTTACAATAAATATCATAGTTTAATATTAATTCTTTAAATAACCATCGCAAAAGCCACTGTCGCGTATTTGATATTGCAAGCATTAAAAAAACACATCATATCATAAAATATACAAAGAGATGGTTTTAGTAACCAAATCACTTAAAATTGTAGAGACTATTTTAACTAATTTTAGTCCGAGGTATCAAGTTCGGTTCATTAGCAATGTACATGAAAATGCTAATTAATGTATTTGCAAGGCAATATAGGTATTTACTCTTAAAAATGACAACCCGCATAATGAAGATTGTGGTAAAATAAAAATCAACCCGCCCTGAGTATCAGTAGAAAACTCAATAATAAAAAAATGAAAATATGTAGACAGGGCGCGTTGTTAATAAACAAATTTTAATATAATCATGTCTGAGTACTTTGGTTCTCAGAATGAAGTTACTTACCTATTATTCGTAAGAAGATTCAGATCAATAAACCTGTTTTAACGGAATTCGGTCCATAATAATTTTAATAAAATAAATAATAAATTAAACAAAGTCGTTTATACATATTTTAGTATTTGGTTTCAGCAAATCAGCAAATAATACCGCTTAGAAATGTTTGAAACAAATAAACAAAATTAGATCATTAAAACCACAGCCGACGAGACCCATAGATACTAACCTCAAGGTCATGGGGTATCTGGCCAGGATGGTTCTGAATGTAATAGTGATTTCCGGCGAGGGTGTGGCGCCGTGGATCGTCGCGTCGGGAAGTTCTGCCCCTGGAAGAGCTTCGGTTCTGCTCCCCATCCGACAACCCACCTGTGGAAAAACAATATAGATTAATACAAGATAAACCAAACTTAGCTGTGACTTTATAAATTAGCTAAAGTTGTTTGTATACTTTTTCTGTTTTAACAACACTTTGTCATTGACACTCTGCTCCTATTAACACATACAAACAACCCTTAATGCATTCTTCTTGCTCTACCTACGAAAGAACTAAAATTTCCAACAATAGTTCGAAATGTAGGGCCTCGAAGGTAGCAAATTATACCCTCATGATGTGTAGAAAGCATCAGATACTGCAATTAACTTAACAAAATAGGTGAAAAACGGATTAAACAAAAAAATATTATCTGTGAATATCCAAAGCGAAGTTCATGCTAGTATAATTTAGGCCTATCTTCTTTTTTTTCTTTTTTTTCTTCTGGTGTAGGTATGTTAACAACCATCAAGCGAGTTAAATGTCCGTTGAGGCAAAATGTGTACCAACATACGTCAGTGGATTTTAACATTCAATAAATCGATTTTAATTACAGTTAATGTTCGATATACTTCGAATAATAATAATTTTGTAATGTGTAATTTACAAGTGCAAACAGGTACACTCCCGTATCTACTTTATAGGTAGTTCATTTATTTTTCACAGTGAAAAACTTTATAGTTTTTAAGGATGTCATCTGAAAATAACGACTTATAGGTAATATTATGCTTAATTATAAAAAAAAATGTTTAAAAGTAGAAAAGTAATGGAGTGTCAACTCCGAGTCCCGTTCTCAATACCATTTGACATTGCAGCATTGGTGGGACCAACTGAAAAAAAGCCATACCCATTGTCAATAAAAGCTCATAAACGCACTTTAACTCTGTTGGGAGCGAATACCGGAAAAAAAATATTTATCTGATCGAGAGTAGGTACCAGGCTCAGAGAGCATACAGACCCTACTCATTAATATTATACACAGAGCTCCCAGAAAGCTGGTTTTAATAAACCTGGGTGCGGCAGTACGTTTAGTGTACATTTTCCTGAAAATGATTTTTTGACCAATGTTCCAAAAAATTATCAATTTTTACATTATTTTGGGTTTACATAACATTTAGGCAGCTCATATGAAATTGAGAACAGTGTTGCTAATATATATTGACTACTTTGGGTGCCTCAAACAATATGCTTACTTTGACTGGTTACATTTATATGAAATTTTGATATCAGATCATTTTTGCTATCTTAGACGCTTCGATCTATTAAGCGCAAAACCTGAAATTAGTTTATTAGTTGATTAGGAATCGAGAGTAGTATCGATTCCACTAATAAAAAATTAGGGTCAAAAAAAATATTTTAATTACGCCGTGTTTAATCGTTACCTAATTCTATTATCAGAGGTGAATAACCTATCTACGTTAACTACTAACCTACTCATAGGCGTGCATGCCTTGCAATCAGCGTGTGAAAGGTCAATACGTTTCCAGAAATGCGTAAAAAAGAGATAACAAGTGCGCGGGGCGAAAACAAAAAGAGTGAATATCTTCGTAAATAATCCGCGAAAATTAATTTTAATAATTTACATAATTATTTTATAAAAAAAATAATTTAGGTGTCTGAGGTTTTGCGCTTTTTCATTAACACGTTGTATACAATGATTATGATATGTAAACAATCTGGTTTAAAAAACCTACCTTTCGGCTGTCACGGGTACATGGCAAATTCTTGGAAACTTATCAAACTATGTGTGGGACTTTGCGGAAAATGATTAACGTTTACATTTATTGGCACTTCGGGCCATCTCTCGGGCACGTCGGGCTCTAAATATGTAAAGCAGCCTCTACCACAGCCCTTAAAGCAGAACCAAATGTATGATGAACAAAAATAAAAATACTACGTGAATGAACTCAAACGTAAATCAAAACAAGTTCAAAAATAATTAAAAAGTTATATAACAGATTGTATTACGCTGAAAATATAACGGAAATTGAACAGCAAACTCTCATATAATTGAAATATCCATCGACACATGGTTAAAAAAAAATTTAAGTAAATTTATGAAAAAAGCACGAAACGCGCGAGCGGCCTTTCCGGCGCCTTGAGATGGTAAACACTGGCGTTGATGTGAGTTACTATGAAGCGCTCAAAATAAAACGTACTATACGTTATAATATTAATAGAATTATACTGATGTCTCAACAGACATTTGGGTCAGTGTGTATGTTAGAAAAAGACAAAAAACGATGCCAATCACACCACCAAATAGTCACAAGTAAGTCACACTTTGTTGGCTAATATAAACTCTAAATCCAAGTCATAAGATTGATTGTAAATAGTTTTTTGTAACATACGTAACACGAGGTTTCACGTTCAACAGGTGATCGCATGAACTATTCAGCCCAAAATTGTATCATACAGATTTTTTTACGCTCGGAGTATGTTTGACTAACACAAAATGTAAATTTGAGAAGTTTAGGAATATTATGAAGTAAAAACAAAAATAAAGATAAACTAAATAATGTCTGCACTGCGCACTATAAAATTGGATGCGCAAAACATTGTCTTGGCTTTTTTTCTGACTGAAAGCTAGAACATGTGGCTGTCAGACCAATAACCACCAACGTTAACAATAGCTACTGTACTATCTGCAACTATCCATTTCTGTTTTTGCTCTCGCTCTCATTATATGGTGATTCTTTGAGATAGAACGCGACGAAATGACCAGCAATGGGTTGACCGGCAATTAACACTGTTGCCGATAGTACGTATTTAAATACAATAAAAAAAACAAGTACTGTATCGATAGCGGTCCAGCAAAATAAATAAACATTCCAAAACGTATAGCGGCGTAAATGCAGCGCCCCAAGCCGCAGCCGCACGTCATCTATTAAAACGTTTGGCTGTCACGGCTGACAGCGTTGACTGACGACTTTGCCGCGAATTTGCAGGAGAGGACAAGCTCGTTCTCACAACTATTGATAGTTAAATCTCTCATAAATACCTATTACGAGTCTACATGAATAAAATACAGACATTGGTGTACGTGCCTGTGAATTTGGTGTGAACTGTGTACCTGAAGTGAAAATTTCAGGTTTGCTGTTTGGTTAAGGATAACTCATCGGTTGGAAACCGCGGTGAGATTTTCCGTATCTTATGATAATTTACTAATTTTGTGTTGAAAATGAAGTATTTCATTCTAAATCCTTCTGGGGACTTTGGTATTTTTGAAGCGGCTATTGAGGATGCTCTTAATAAAACTTGTAACAGCAACAAAAAGGTCCTAGTTTGTGGAGATTTTAACGTCAATTTACTAGATAGCTCATCATCATATTCTGTAAGACTACTTTCCCTCTTTAAGTCATTTAATTTGTTTAGTCAATTTAACGAACCAACTAGAAATACGGAAACCACATCTACTTGTCTAGATAATATTTTCTCTAGCTGTGTCCCTGACAAAAAAGCTGTCATACACAATCTTACGTCAGATCACTGTGGTATTAAAGTAGAATTTATTTTTAATAATTCTAATAATACAAGTAACAAAAATGCCGTATGTAGACCTGTAACCATTAGTCGTCTAGAACGTTTTAAGAATAATCTTGGAAATAAATTGCATTTAGTCCCGTACGTGCAGGGAGACCCAGATGCTCTTTACAATAACCTTTTCGAATGTATTAAAACCGAACATGACAAAGTTTTTACTGTAAAGCCATTAAAACCAAATACCAAATCTAAGTTTAGTGACTGGGCTACTAAGGGAATATACAAAAGTCGAAATACGTTATATGAACTTTATGGCATGAAAAAGTATAATAATAGTATATCTTTTCTTGAGCATGTAAAAAAGTATTCAAAAATTTTTAAGAAAGTTTGCTTCATGGCTAAGTCTTTTTATATTCGGGACAAGATAGGGAACGCCAGTAATAAAATAAAAGAAACTTGGAATGTTATCAACCGAGAGACTGGTAAACTAAAACCAAGAGATAATGACTTTTCTCTCAAAGTTCACGATAATTTGATATCTGCAGATAAAGATGTAGCAGAAGCTTTTAACAAATTTTTTGTTAATATAGCTTCAGCAACAACTGCCAACTTAAAGTCATCTCCCTCCGAGGCTGAAGAAATATTGAAAACCCACGTGACACCCTGTGACTCGCACTTCTCTTTTAAACATATTACTCCATTAGATATCACTAAAACTTTTAATCTTTTAAATGTAAAGAGTACAACTGATATCTGGGGCATCTCTGTCAAGATAGTCAAACACATTATTGATATAATTTCCCCACAGTTAGCGATAATATTCAATAATTGCATAGAGAAGGGAATCTTCCCCGACCTCATGAAACATAGTAGACTAATGCCATTATTTAAGTCTGGTAGCAAAACCGACCCTGGCAATTATAGACCCATTTCTATCTTGCCCGCTCTGAGCAAGATTTTTGAAAAAATCATACAGGAGCAACTTATGATTCACTTTGGCTCTAATAAACTATTTCATAGTGAACAATATGGTTTTACCAAGGGTCGTTCCACCACCGATGCCGGGGTTGCACTACTTAAACATATCTTCGAGGCTTGGGAGAATTCTCAAAATGCACTAGGGGTCTTCTGTGATCTCTCAAAAGCTTTTGACTGCGTAGAACATCAAACGCTAATTCGCAAACTGCACTATTATGGGGTAAAGGACTCGGCTTTGGATTTAATACAATCCTATTTAAACTTTAGAGTTCAAAAAGTTGACATAAATGGTGTTTTGTCTTCTGGGTCACCTGTGAAAATGGGAGTTCCGCAGGGGTCCATTCTGGGTCCATTCTTGTTTCTTATATACATTAATGATCTACCATATTTTGTTAAGGACTCTTGCGAAATCGTGTTATTTGCTGATGACACATCTTTGATTTTTAATATCGATAGAAGTAAAAATAACTTTGACGATGTAAATAATGCACTAACAAGAGTTTTAAGTTGGTTCACTACAAATAATTTACAACTCAATGCAAAGAAAACAAAATGTATAAAATTCTCTTTGCCTAACGTAAAAACAGTTAGTACCCAAATAGAACTTAATAATAATGCAATCGATCTGGTAGAATCTACTGTATTTCTGGGAATTACCCTGGATTCAAAACTCCAGTGGGGCTCCCATATAGAAACTCTGGCGGAAAAGCTCAGCTTAGCGGCTTTTGCAATAAAAAGGATACGGTCATTAACCGATGTTTCAACAGCTCGCTTAGTCTACTTTAGCTACTTTCATAGCCTAATGTCATATGGAATCATGCTATGGGGCAAAGCTGCAGATTTTGAAACAATATTTATTCTGCAAAAACGTGCCATAAGATACTTGTATAAAATGAAAGCATTCTCACGGCCATGAAAAGTAATGTATAAACTAATCTAATTTTCTAAAATGTTATAGTGTCATGCTTCTCAATCTGGACTGTTACTTAGCTTTATTATTAGTTTTTTTTTTTCTCTAAGAGATAACTTGGTATTGTCATTCTCACTAAAATGTCTCTGGTGTGGTGGCGTAGTGAGGCGGGTCGTTACATTCCCTCTAATATGGTCGAGTGAAGCGATGGCTGGTTCACTCGTCATGTCTGTGAACCAGCTGCTTTCGGGGACTGGTCAATCCAAGTTATTCCAAATTTATGTATTCCAATTTATGTATGCGAGTCATTTCTACTAGTATTTAAGTATGTAATCTGTAAGTCTAGATATTAGCACGTCACTACCTTGTTTAATATACCACGCAATTTTGTATACCCATTCTTATAAGATACACTATACAAGAATGCATGGTAAATTCAGTGAACTGCTCCTGAATCGAATGTACCTACTACTGCTATTTCTATTTATTTATGTTAACCGGCAGACAGTGGTGACTGAGTTTGTTGCGGCGCTTCTTCTCAGCACTTGCCAAATGTTGGTCTCGAAGCGCTGGTAGGGTAAAAAGATTATGAGACATGTAGAGGCTCCTTAAGAGCAAAATGACGATTTGTAAGAACTATTTATTAGTCTAAACAAATAAAGAAATTTTGACTTTGACTAAAGTGAAACAGTCAGTGGTATCGCTAGTGGTAAACGAATTTCACACAAAATTATTAATACCACAAAACGCAGTAAAATTTATTAATTAATCACTGTTAATTAGACAAAATTAATAAATCATACCTAATTTCTGTATACAGGGTGTTAGGTAAATGAGTATATGAGCCGACACTAGCCCATGTTAACATGGTCATATAAATGGTATGGTGAAGTCAGATTTGATATCATTATTTAATTTATTTAATTTTCATACAAAATAAATTTTATAAAATCCGATTTGTATGAAAATTAAAATAATTAAAATGAAGATATCAATTTTCTGACTTCACCATACCATTTATATGCCCATGTTAACATGGGCTAGTGTCGGCGCATATACCCATTTATCTAACACCCTGTAGAGATATAGATATTAAATAGAGATTATATTAATAATATATTATAATTCAATCGCGGAAAGAAAACTAAACATTGAAAACTAATTAAAACAACAGTTTTTTTATAAGTTTGTCGTCCGTAAGTTGTTTTAATAATTAAGATACCACATTAAACATATAGATTGGAGCATCGATTGGATTTTTTATTAAAATTTTCCTTCGCGTTTTCTTTGAGCATTTTATAATTTTCTCTTGATTTATATCTGAAGAGTTACAACTAAGAAAAATGTAAGTCGCGGGTAACATAAAAGGTCTGCTTAACACGATCGCGTCTTTTCAAGCGAGCAGGAAAAGGTTTTCGCGACCTAGTAACTATAATACGTTTTAAAAAATGTTACGAAAGATGTTATTCAGTTCGTAACAGAGTGAGTTATTCACTCTAAATCCAAATCTTTTGGTGATTTTATTTGTAATTAGTTACATTTGAATACTCGTATTTTATTAGCCTATAGCACAGAATAAAATCGTGATGAACCTCAAGTATTAAAACCCAGATAAACTCGTAAATTGAATACTTTTTTCTCGGCAATCATCTTTTTGCCATAAGATTTTCTGGGGCGACTTACCATCGATTCGTGAACCATCTCCATGCCAGTCTTCTTCTGGAACAAAAACAACCAGCATTAGCTACTGAGTTTGAGGAATATATTTGACTTCGTAAAAATACTACTCGAACCCCCTTATTATTAAAAAAGTTACACCTAGGATGAAAACTGGATTAAAATGACATTTCCATACTAAATGACAGTTAAAGCCAGAGTTCAAGGGTATTACTTTTATTAATAAGGGGGTTAAAGTCTAGTTAAGTTTTTTAGGTCCAGCTAACAAAGAACTTGGCTGATTACATCAAACGGTAACTGTATGTTACCGATTCATTCTAAGTGCTTTCACATCAAAAGCCTACTTGCATAAACAAATAAGTAAAAGCATTTATCTTATTAAATGTTGGTTTTAATTTAGATTTAAGTCATTTGTGTTGTTTAAGGATGTTTATTATTTACAACTAAATTGTTTCATCCAATATGTGATTTTAGGGCCTAATAAACACCTTTGATCAGAGCTCTCAAACGATACAGCCAGCGTACTCTGTCGGGACATAGTTGAAACTCTAGCAGCGCTGCACATTGCATAACAGACTTCAACTTGCACGCTAGATGGCCCTAGGTGACGGTGAACTCATTTGCATGAAACGTGCAGTTGATGTAACATGCACTTCAGAGATGGCGCTTTCAGCTCAGCGCAGATATTTTTAATTTTATTTAAAGTTCAATAAAACATTTTGTAACAGTACTAATAATAATAATACAAATAAAACATAAACCCAGTCAGATTTACTACATAGATCAGTTTCTAAATTGTGATATGTTCTAATATAGCGTTGTTTACTTAAGCAGGAATCACAATTTTTCAGGTCCTTATTGAGGTAAATATAAAAAATGAATATAATCACGTAATTTAAATCCATACATAGTTGATTTCGCGACTATTTTAAAATGATGTGATGATGATCGAAAATAGTGAAGGATTTCGCTTAGCTGCGCTACTTGTTGTAACGACACCTACAGGATTCTTTGTAAACCTTTACGTAACGGGTCCGAGATTGGTGTCTGAAATGTGAACCCGTAAACCTGTTTAGGGTTCTAACTACTAGCCGCTTGTGTGCAGGTGCTTTGGAGGTTGTCGTGATAACAGCACCCATTGGAAGATGACGCTGAAAATGTTTACGAATGTTTCATAGTTAGAATGAATCTAACTATGAAACACGCAATTAATTTAAAAAATGAAGCGAGAGAAAGTTCTTTGAAGATAAATATAAATTATAGGTATGATTTTTTAGATTTCCATGTATAAATCGCCGAAATCTATAGCCGAAATACACATATCAACAACAACATGGTCTAGGGATATTTAAATTAAACCTAAATAACTAAAATTCTATTAACTTTTTGTTAAGACACCTGCACATTAAAATATACCTTGTTTAATAGCCCTGCCCTGACTTAAATCCTATTGAGCATGCCTGGGATATGCTTCAGAGAAGAGCTAGACCATGTTGATGTGTGTAGATGAGTTGATTGATGTTACTGATCCTTTGTTCTCAATACTTAATGATCATTGCGTAAGTTTGTGATGTAAACTCCAACATTAAAAAACTTCTCCAGAATTTTTCTTTTTGATTTGTAACAGCAATTTATCATTTTTTCCTTAAGTAGGTACAGTTTCTTTCTTTCATTCGTACAAGTTTTTTATTTCTGTTATTTTCACAAGAAGCCAAGAAAATATTTTTAAAACACGGGACAAACTTTTTGAAAACGTTCCCAATTCACTTTTTAAGGATTCTTCTAACTTGGTCATTTTTTTGTGTCGGTACATTTTCTTTACCCTGTGTTAGAGCCGACCAACGCGCAACGGTTAGTACCGTACGATAGTCTCTTGGGATTTATGGTTTTTTTTAAACATTTATAAAAAATAAGAAGTTGATTTTTATCGATCTTAACTCCAGGGGAAATCGTCAATATTTCACAATTGATAAGGCCATGGTAGTGCTTTATTCATTTTTGGAAAATAACAGTGAGGGCAGCTGCTCAAGTCAAGAGTACTTACATACAGTCGCAACTGTACAGTCAGCGTCAGATAGATCGAAACGTCTAAGATAGCCAAAATTATCTGATATTCAATATTGCTTGGATTTTTTTTTATTTTTTTCTCTTTCGTGCGAACAGTTTTAGTGCATTGGTAATAATTTATTAACAATACTCACAAGTACTATCTTAAAAATTATTATGTATCTAAGTATTGCGGAACTTGAATCTGAGTCTTTAATTCAAAATTACTGTCTGAACTTGGTACTTGCGTATGTTTGATGTATCAAAAAAATATTAAAATTTAGAACCTGTGTAAGTACTGTCAAAAACTGCCTAGGACATTAAGCGATAAAATAAGGTAAATTTGTAAACCTGTAAAGTAAATTTAAAGCATTTTTCAATGGGAAAAAATACTTGGACGGTTACACCCATAGATATCTACACTAATATTATAAAGAGGAAAATTTTGTTTGTTTGTTTGTTTGGTTGTAATGAATATACCTAATATAGAGAGATGCCAACTAATGCGCTGAGTTCGAGCAATGTGTTCTGTTTTTTTGGCATATTGCTGCGACACCGGCCCTTGTTACATCTTGTTGAAACCATAGCTTAGTCCAGTCAATGAAGGCTTTAACGAAGGTGTAGAGGGAAATGCCTGGTACACTGTGGCGGTCTGATTGAACGTCCCTTCTACCCGATCTCTCCAGAAAAAAAGTTGTGTTCACTAGTTTTTGTAAATAATTTGTTTTCAATTTATAGTTCAAACTACTTCTCATGTGTTAGTAATTCCTTCCTTTTCTAAATTCATCTACAAAACACGATCGACTGAATATTTCACCAGGGAATCGAATAATGCAACTAGATATACGTAAGTTGCTCTTACAGCTGCGCAGCTCCGTTAAAAAACATTCCCAAGCTCAGGAACAATATCCACTACATTGGCTATCTCACTCGCACTATTCACCCCCTCAGTGTCCTTGGATCTCACAGGGGGGTGCGCATCGCTGGGCACGTTAAGTTATAGGGGTCCCCCTTATATTATGCATTACATCTCTACCTTCCCAACGTCTCATTCTACAATACATTCTGCTTTCTTAAGCAAATGCGTGAAAGTACGAAAGTAGCAGTCCAATAAGGTGCCACGGGGTTGCATTTGTCGGCAGTTTGGTGTTTTGGCTAACCTAATAATTTGTGAAGTGTTTTAATCGAATTAGATGAAAAAAAGTGACAACTGGTTCACGCACGGACGAGTTGTCCACTTTATCAATATATAATTGTTTTGAAGTTGTGTTTTTGATAGCCGTCTGGGCATTTTGGAAAGAATAAACCTTTATTTTAACCAAAGGTTTTTTCATTATATCCACCCGCCCGAGCGGCTGTCCACCACATAGTTCGAGCCGGATCCCAGGTACTGTTGGTAAATATGATAACACGGAGCCGAGGTAAGTCCACTGCGACAGCTTCCGAAAATCATTTCTCACGTCATCCAGTAGAGGCGATTTCTTCTGACCCTCATTCTTCCCACCATGCAGTTGGGGCGGCGTCAGGTCGCCATTCATCCCAATCTCGTCATTCGTCGAAAAGCGAACGCTCGGTCGTAGCGCAACGCCTGTCGGCAGAGGTCTTCTTATCAAAATAGAGCTCTTGCTGTCGAATTGGAAACCTTGGAAGCAGCATTTTCTAAGGTGGTTTTTAGTTCTTATCACGCTAATCCAGTGCAATCTTGGGTTCACAGCTTGCCGGCCGAGTTTGTTCCACCTTCCACTCGACCTCCAATCCCGGTAGTCGTGGGTCCTGTCGTCCCACAGCCAGTGCCCCTTCCCCGCCCGCACGACCCTCAACGTCCACATCGTGCGGAGGAAGCTACCACAGCAGGTTGTCCTTATCAATATCCTACAAATCATAACAAACACAACAGCGACGTTCAAGATTTAGCACCAGCGATTATTTCACTTGGTCTTAGCCCAGGGTTTGTGACTTGCCAATATTCAGTGGTAAGGCTACCCTATTGGTATTATTACACCTTTTCATTTCATATTGGTACTATTACACCTTTTCATTTCATCCTAGGTTCTTCATCTCCATTCTATTCAGTTATATTTTTTTTTTGTTTTAAACAGATTCGAGAAAATTACAGAGAAAATTATGTGTGACATGTGCAGTTAGGTGAGTTTGTTAAATTGACTGCTCGGCACACATTTGAGGGTAAGTATTGGGATTCAAGGATTAAGATTGATTGCAAATATTAATTTGTATCGCGGTAAGCCGAAACCGGCGTCCGCAATACCAGCCTTAATCTTGCAATCCTATCTTAATTAACAATTAAAATAAACTCGTGGGGAAGCTTGAATTTTTTAGTTGTCTTTATAACAGTGGGACACTACGCTTTACTTATCTTCAAGCAAGTAACAGGAAGTCCGATGAGTCCCCATAATATCTTGGTTGGCCAGGCTATCGCGTTTCCGCATCCCGGATTCCCATTTTATGGCCCTAATCACCACCATGAGTTGTCATGACCGATGGTGCTCAAAAGCAGATATATCCTGGAAGATTTAGCAATGCTGAATGGACGGTACACAGATGTGAAGGAAAAATATGTTGTGGTGGGAGAGGGTCTCAAGGTCCTCCAACTGTACGAAGGATGGAAGACGACTGTGGCGATATCTACCGACTCGCCACTACGGACTTAACCAACAGATGGCGCTAACACACAAGTTACTATGGCTGACACCACCGTGCCTACAGTCCTGAATCGCGGTGTCGGAGTTTTCTACCCTGCCAAGTATACAGGAACTGTATATAGGGAAACCAAGATGGTGTAAATTGGACCTTGGTCCCTGAGTACAACACCCGCTCGGAAGGAAGCACTTACATCTGAGGTTCCTTATTGTGCTTGATCCTTGCAATCCTACAACGATGAAGAATGCAATTTGAAGTTTTCTGCCGCGGGTGACCCACACGTGACACATTTCATGGACAACGGTCCGGACCTCAAGGGGATCGCTCAAATGTTAAGG